GTTCTTCTAAAGTTCCTCTAAACCTTCTGATGTTTAGATGTTTGTAGTAGAGCTTCTCACACACTTTTCATGTAAATAATGATTGTTTTCATTCCTTTCTAGAAGAAAAAATAATTAATAGACTGTTGGTTTAACCAGTGTGGTTGGAGAGGTGGCAATTTCATCCTCCAATCCATGGTCACTTTTGAAATTCTATAAATATTGAAGTCCAGAAACAAACTAGTCCTTTTTTGCCTTGGACATCTCAGCATGTGAGTGTTGTTCAGTATTGCAACACCCCAGCATGATCTCAGCACACCTTTGTCACCATCATGTTTCCTGGAAAACCCCTTTGCCCAGGATTCTTCTCCTGGGAAGCTGAGAACCCTCCAAGAAAAAGGAAAACAATAATTATCTGATTTGCTTCTCCTGTGTTTTGCTGCTTTGGAATGTGTTTGGAGATTGTTTACCCACAGGTGATTGTTCCATTGCATTCTGCTGGGAGTTGTTTTCACTCTTGGGCCAATCAGGGCCAAGCTGTGTCAAGGCCTGGAAGGAGTCACAAGTTTTCATTATTATCTTTTTAGCCTTCTGTAAGTATCCTCTCTGTATTCTTTAGTATAGTTAGTATAGTATCCTTTAATATAATATAATACCATAAAATAATAAATTAGCCTTCTGAGAACATGGAGTCAGATCCATCATTCCTTCCTTTGTCTGGGAACCCCACAAACCCAACACCTTTTTGTTCAGGCAGCACAATTCCCATCCTTGGAGCCCTCCCCCTGCCAGGTGGGCACAGACAGGGTGACCCATGGAGGGAAGGTGATGTCAGGAATGTGCTGCACTCCTGGGACACCACCAGGAGCCTCTGGGCACAGAGCCCCAGCCCTCACCAGCAGGGAGGGAGATGCTGCTGTTTGCCCAGAGCTGTCAGCCAGCTCTGTGACCTGGGAAATCCTATCCAGGATGTGGAAGGGATGGAGAGCACCAGGGTCAAGAGATCCTGCAGATTGTAATGACTTCCATTAAATCACTGTCTTCCCTGGGCTGAATTTGAGCTGACAGCCTATTGCTGAGAGACTCCACACAGCTTATTACCTCTCCCTGCCTGCAGTTTAACACTGCTGACAGGGCTGATGGATCAGCAGCCCCTCAGCCAGCCCAGACCACAGCTGCCAGCACCATCCTCCCCCCAGTGCCACCTCATCTGCCACCCACGCATTTCTCCCCCCAGTGCCACCTCACCTGCCACCAGTGCCATTTCTCCCCCCAGTGCCACCTCACCTGCCACCCATGCCATTTCTCCCCCCAGTGCCACCTCATCTGCCACCCACGCATTTCTCCCCCCAGTGCCACCTCACCTGCCACCAGTGCCATTTCTCCCCCCAGTGCCACCTCACCTGCCACCCATGCCATTTCCTCCCCACTAGTGCCACCTCACCTGCCACCAGTGCCATTTCTCCCCCCAGTGCCACCTCACCTGCCACCAGTGCCATTTCTCCCCCCAGTGCCACCTCACCTGCCACCCATGCCATTTCCTCCCCACTAGTGCCACCTCACCTGCCACCAGTGCCATTTCTCCCCCCAGTGCCACCTCATTGCCACCCATGCCATTTCTCTGTCAGGAGGAGTGCAAAATATGCCCCATTTTCCATGGAGAAAACCCATTTGCACATGGGGGATGAGGAGAATTTTTTTCCCTCCCCACTCAACAGCTGTTTCTCCATGCTGTGCTTACCAAGAAGTGACCTCTCATTTCCCTTGTAAAGCCACAGTCACTACTGTCACAGTTGCTTGTACATGACTACCACAAAACTGAGGCATTAAAATAGTGAAAAGTGGAGTAAATTGAGAAAACAGATGGGCAAAATAGGTTCTTCCAAGCAGCCAAGGGAGAAATAAATATGACCTAATGTATGTAGGGACTGGGCTGATGCTCAGGGGCACAGAGTGCACATTTGAACTGTCAGAAAATCCAGCTGTGAAACCCCAGGCTGGTGCCTCTGTGTTGTGGTTCCTCTTCTCCACTCTGGTGAGCATCCTTGTCCTTTGTGCTCCCAGTGACACCTCATGGGAGGGCAGGGACCTGCCCCTGCACAGGCAGATGCACATGGGCCCCAGCACAGCGTCCTCTAAAAGCCCTCCCAGTGCTCTCCAGAGTGGAAAGCTCTGTGTGTTGGTTCACTGATTCTTCTTAAGCCAAAAAAATGACTCAAGATCAAAGTCAGACCCATGGTGGACCCTAAACCTTTGTTTCAGCGACATCTCCTGGTGTGTGTCCAAGCAGAGTTCCAAAAATGTGTCCAATTTCTCTCCAAGGCAGAAGGGCAGCAGGCACAAGGCATCACCCCCACATCATCCCTGCCTTTCCAAAGCAGATTTACAGTGGCAGAGAAGTGAGAAATGCCCATTAACTGTCCCCTCTGACCAGCCACTCCTGCTGGCTTAGCAGTCCAGCTGATTTCTAGCCAAAATATCAAACTGGATGTTTTCTCCTCAAATTATCCAGCAGTCAAAATCAGGTCCATGGAAAGAGTCAAAGTGCCAAGCACTGGATTTTAGTTTATCTTTGTACAGAGCCTTGCACAATCAGTATTTCCATAAAATAACTAACAGGGAAGGGAAGGGAAGGGAAGGGAAGGGAAGGGAAGGGAAGGGAAGGGAAGGGAAGGGAAGGGAAGGGAAGGGAAGGGAAGGGAAGGGAAGGGAAGGGAAGGGAAGGGAAGGGAAGGGAAGGGAAGGGAAGGGAAGGGAAGGGAAGGGAAGGGAAGGGAAGGGAAGGGAGATATTTACATTGGTGATATTTTTTCCTGCTGTATGATTAGAGCACAGGGCACTCTGCAGTCAGGGTTAGCACATATTTCTATTCACACACTGGCAGGGGTATCCCTGCTGATATTCCTACCAGACTCAGGTTTCTTTCGTTCCTCAGAGGATTTATTTTATTGGATTTTTTTTTACTGGATGTTATCACCTGTTTACTTCCATCCTTCTACTTACCACTACCACTTCCCACCTTGTCATTCTTCCAACTTGAAAATCCCAGGCAAGAAAACATCCTGTCCTTTCTGGGAAGGGATCCAGGCACATCATGAGGCTACAGGAGCACTTGACATTTCCCTATTGTTCTTAGCATTTCCTAATCAGTCTCTCTATCACAGGCACCAATTAATATGCATTCAGGACAGCTGATAAGTAGGAAAGCAATTCTTGGGTGCCAAAAATAGAATTCCTGCACAAGGGGATTATCAATAGGTACATTTTTGCCCCATATTTATTTTTATCTGCCTGCCCTCATGCCTGAATGCCCAGAGGTATTCCAAATATCTGGGACTTGGACAGGGGTGGATGGGGGTTGGAGCAACCTGGTCTAGTGGAAAGTGTCCCGCCCAGTGTAGGGGGTGAAATGGGATGAGATTTAAGGTCCCTTTCAACCCAAACTTTCTGCCCAAAATGTCAAGCTGGGTGTTCTCTCCTCAAATTATCCACCAGTCAAAATCAGGTCCATGCCAGGAGAGGGGAGTGAAAGGGCCAAGCACTGGATTTCAGCTTAGCTCTGTCCAGAGCCTCACACTGGGAGGGTTCCATGGATTTCTGTGGATTCTGTGATTTTATTCCCACCTGCAGGGGAGTCTGTGGGATCTATTCCCACTGTGGGAGCAGATCCAAAAGCACAGTCTGACCCCTTGTGTTCCCCATGACACCTCAACAGCATGAACTCTGCTGGTTTGGGGGAGATGGAGGGGACTGGGTTACAGATGTGCCAAAGTGAGATCAGCACCATCCTCACAGAAATGAAATCCTGAGCACAACAGGAAGGGTTTGCTCCCTGTGCTCTCCACAGCCTCCAAACCTGGACTGACTCCTGGTGCAAACACACAGTATTAAAATAAATGTGCTGTTAACAGCAGGGATCCCCAGGCCACTCCCCACATGCAACAGGATCCCTGCCAGCCAAAGTCACCAGGACCAGGGGCTTTGAAAGTGAGAAGGAGAAGGAGAAGGAGAAGGAGAAGGAGAAGGAGAAGGAGAAGGAGAAGGAGAAGGAGAAGGAGAAGGAGAAGGGGAAGAGGAGAAGGGGAAGGGGAAGGAGGAGAAGAAGAAGGAGGAGGAGGAGAAGGAGAGGGAGAGGGAGAGGGAGAGGGAGAGGGAGAGGGAGAGGGAGAGGAGAGGAGAGGAGAGGAGAGGAGAGGAGAGGAGAGGAGAGGAGAGGAGAGGAGAGGAGAGGAGAGGAGAGGAGAGGAGAGGAGAGGAGAGGAGAGGGGACCACCAGACTCCAGGTGGAAGCAGAACAGGTCATCCCCAGTCCTGGAGAGCTCAGAAGATCTCAGGACAGCCTCAGGCCTCCTTTCCCTGATTTTAGAGTAGAAGGGAGAGGAGACCACCCCATTTCAAGAGAGCCCTCTGACAGAAGCTGTAATTTTCCATCTAGGCTTTGCAAATAAAGACCAAAAGGGAATATAACAAGATAAATATAATTAATATTTCAAAGGGTGCTTTTTGTAGGTTGAAGGAAAGACCGCAACACAGCAAAGCTACAGAGAAAGAGAGTTTTTTGTTGAAGCAACAAAGGCACAAAGAAACATCTGCACATAATTTCATGACTTTTAACTGGCATTTTAGAGCTTGGCTAAACCAACAGCTCAGTTGTCTGGCTCTTCTAAATCTGGCATTGAGCACAGATGCTCAGTGGACAGATGATTTTCTTTTGGTAGTGCTGATGCTGGATTCCCATCAATGGGGTTATTGCTGGATTCCCATCAATGGGTACATTGCTGTATTTTCTCCTGAAATTAAGAGCCATTTTCAACCCTGAATCTGAGGCTCAGCCCCAGCACAAGCTGCACACTGAGATGTTCTTCCCACAGCTGCAGATTTCAGAAACCAAAAGCATTTTAAAGAATCAGCAATTAATGTTCTCCACTGCTAAAACTGTACATAAAAATGACATATTCCTCCAGATGTGTGCAATGTGCCTTCCTCACATCCTAACACACATTTATGCATTGATTTCCTACCTGTGCATCCATCAGGAGGTGCCTCATCAGCCTCATGGCACTTTTCAGAGATTCCTTCTCACTGGGCAAAAAGGCATCTTCATCCTCATCCAGGGTTTTTGACTTGCTGACAATGAAGTGGGAGATCTGGTCATTCAGGGAATGCAGTGATTCAACAGCTGTGGAGACACAGAGGGAAAGCAAGAAGCAGGAATGAAACCATGCTGAAGGAAAACAATGTCATTTTTTCAGTTTGACATGAGCGTGGTTTGCTCTGGGAAAGTGTAGCTGGAAATAATTGATCCCCATTTCCTCCCCTGGACTCTCCTGAGAGGACCAGCAAAGGCCTCATACAGACATACAAGACCCTGAACAACCTGGTCCTGCTGGTGGCAGGGTGGTTGGAAATGAGGTGGCATTGAAGGACTCTTCCAACCCAAATCATTCCAGGATTCTATGATTATGTTTCTAATCTCAAGTAACAAGTCATGGCTAAAGTGAAAACAAGAAAGCAAATGTCTCTTGACTCGCAGCCCAGAGACCTGTTCCCTGTGATGTGCAGGGAACCAGAACTCCAGACAACACAGAGGAGAGAAGCTGGAAAATTGGCTTTTTATTAGCTAGAGTAGGAGTGAGTCAGACCAACAACTAAAGCATTGCTCATTTTCTTTCTTGGTGATTATTGGTATTTGAATCACTGTTAATCTCTTAAATTCTCCACGTGGGCTCAAGCCCCAGGTATTATATGTGAGATTCTACTCCCAGTCAGAAATCACCTCCTCCACAGCTCACAGAAATCCCCCAGCAATTTCACACACTTTATGAAGCTGCAATTTATATATGAACCAATGGCCACATTTATTTCCACCCAATGAAAAGCTCTGGACTTCTACAGATTTGAAAAATCCGCGCTGCAATTTGCTTCTCAACCGTGGTGAGTTTGGGGGTTTCATTTTTACTGCTGGCTCATTAAATAAATGAGATCCAAATAATTCTGCAGTGTATTTTCTTTGTGCTGGTGGCTCAGGCAGTGGAGCCCTTTGATAAGCTCAGAGTAACACATCACTGTCACACCCTGAACGTGCTGCACACCCTGGCTTGCTCAGGCAGTTTATGAATAAAGCAATCTGTTATTTAGGGCTCTCTGACAAACTGATCTTAAGAACACGAGGCAATTGAAGTGTACTCGACCTAGTTCTGTCTAAAGAAGATCTTCCCACAAAATTGGAAGTAGTAAAGATTAGCCAGAAACCACTCATTGAGGAGCAAATCTTCCCCAGACAAAAGGGCCATAACAAATCACAGTTGTGTCTCCAAAATGCAGGAGGGAAAGAGCAGAATCCTCCTTGCTGAGAGGGTTTATTTTTCATTAAAATAATAAAACAAAATCTGGAAGTGCCTTGGAGAGGGGACTGGGAGGATTCCCAGCACTCAGGGTGTTCCTGCACCTCCTGCTAACAGAAAAGGAGTTTGAAGCTCACTGTGGTGGAGGGTCCATTTTAAACCACACCATACAATGAACCATGGAATGGTTTGGATGGGAGGGAATCTTAAAGATCCTCTCATCCCACCCCTGCCATGGCAGGGACACCTCCCAATAGCCCAGGCTGCTCCCAGCCCTGTCCAGCCTGGCCTTGGGCACTGCCAGGGATCCAGGGGCAGCCCCAGCTGCTCTGGGAATGCTCTGCAGGGCCAGTCCTGGCTGCTGGGCAGGGCTCGTGTGCACCCCTCATGTTTGTGACAAGGCAGCCCTGTCACTTTAGGACATGAAACAGAAAGACATGGCCACTGGATTTTCTAAGGCAAAAAAGAGGGAAGTTTAATTCTGACTCCAACATTTATAGATTTCCAAAAGTGACAGTGGATTGCAGGGTGACAGTGCCACCTCTCCAGTGACACTGGACAAACCAACAGTCCATCAGATTTCTCCTCTTCTATAAGAGAATGCAAAACAATAAGTAATTTACAGAAAGTGTGTGAGAAAGTTTGCCTCCTTTTTGGACATAAACCTCTGGTGTTTGTGGATTAATTTTCCTAGCATCACCATCAACAAATCATTTTGGAATCATTTGTCCTCACACCAAGCAGAACTTGTGAGCCCAGGGAGCTGCTGCTTTTCCATGCAGGAGAGCAGCAGGCACATGGCTGCACACAGGCAGCAGCACTTTGATCTTCTTATCACTTCTAGCCTGAGCTAGCACCTCTATCAGACATGGCCTGAAAGCCATCTCCCCAGCACTGATGCACCAGTATTGACTCATCCCATCCTTTCTGACCAGTGAGGAATTGAGGACAGATCATTTTTTTCCTGCTCTGAAATTTTGGCTGGAGCCCTAAGCCCACATCTGCTTTCAGTAATACAAATGTACAGCAGAGTTCTCCTCGAGCTGCTGGCTCCCTTCCAGATTTACATAGACTGTGACCAAAAACTGGTACATGGAGAACTTCTCCCAGGCTTTCTGACTTTAAAATAATTCAAAACAAACTAAATTATGTTATCCTATATTATTCCAATCTCTTCATCTGAAGCTAGAGCTCTCCATTCTCTGATATTTCTTCTCTTTCTGTTTGGGAAGTTCAGTGCTGCTGGAGCAGTATGTGGCACATGAAGCTCAGGGGGGCAAATGCTTCTCTCATTTGTAATTCTTTAGGTTTAGAGAGATGCCAGAGGAATCAGAAAAAATATTTTCCAGCAAGAATGTGGGGAAAGCAGATCAGTATTGACTTGAACCAATTTTTAGAGGGATCTGCCACAGTGCTGTGTTTATACTCTGCTTAGCAAAACAAATCTTTTCCCATGAACACAATGGAAACTGTATTGGAAAATAAAATCCTCTGAGTCTTCCTCATGAAAGTAAAAAAGGCATTTCCAAACCTCCAGCCTACACACACTGTGAAAACAAAGCTGGAAAGACCAAACCATTCCTGACACTATTTTTCTGGAAATGCTGTGTCAGTCTGCAACACAGCTTCCAAAGCAGAAGAAATTGGATATTTCTCATTTAAATCAAGAGAAACTTCCTGCCTTTTGCCCACTAAAAATCTAAAGGACAGAGATAATGAGGCAAACCCTTCATCTCTCACAATGTTATGGCTCAGACATTTCTGCTGAACAACACTTCCACTAACCCAGACAGTTCTTTGTGAAAGCATCAAATTCTTAAAGGAAAAAATCATGAACCTCAGATATAAACACAGGCATGTCCAGTGGAGATGAAAAGATACTTCTTGGTCCCTTAAAATGAAACAAAAAAGAGAAAAAAAATGAAGACAGCACCTTTCCCTTTCTGTGTCTTTCCCCTTGGCTTGAGGTTGGTAACGCACCAGTAACGCTGCAAACGAGACAACAGGCTGAATAAAAGTTACAGCTGTCAAAGTCCTGTCAGCAGCCCAGATTTCCCATTCCAATTCCATCATTTCCCCGCTGCAAGGATCAATTTCAAGAGGTGAAGGAACCATAACAATCCTTTGTTAGCTCTTTGGTGTCACCCCAAAAAAAGATCAAATAATCTCTTAGTGGGGCAGGGGTTCTGCCTGCTGCTACCAGAGAGGATGTGCTGCTCTGAGGTGCTCAGGTGAGGACAATTTGCCACCCCCAGAAGCAAGAATGGGTTGACAAAGTTGGTTTTCTGCAGGGCAGAATCACCAGAGCCTGAAGGACGTGCAGGGGAAAAAGGAAATTGCTTTCTGTCGGAGACGAGGGAAAAATTATACTTGCGCCAAAAACTCATTCAAGGAAGAGACTGAAGCAATAAAGTTGTTCCAGGAGACCCCATTTTATACACTCCAGCTACTGCCCAGATGAGCACAAAATAAAATAAAGCATAGATTATATATCCTGAGATCTACTGACAAAAGTCAGCAGAGTCTAAAATTAATTCTCGGCAGCAGGAGTGAGTAAATGAAAGAGGACGGACACGATCATAATTTTATCAAGGGAGGGTGAGTAAGGATTCCTGGGCTCTGCCACATGGAATAGAGAAGATGTTTGAGTCTGACTTTGGTGTGTTGGTTCAAAATGCAGTGAAAAGGATAGGAAAGGGCTGCTGTTCCTGAGAGCTGCAGGGATGGCTCCAGGAGAGGCTGGACTTGAGGTAAAGCAGGAGCACATCACCATCCCACACACCCAGGGACTGCAGGATGGGGCTCTGCAGGAGCTCTCTGTGTGCACAGTGCCCAGGCAGCTTCTGGGGACAGAAATGGGGAAAATCTGCTGTGTCAGTCTGCTGAAAAACACCAACCAGAGCAGCCTGGATCCCCCAAAACCTCAGGTCTGATCTGGGTGCTGGGTACAACCAGCTCTCCAAGAGTCAAAAGGAATGAGTCCTTGCCAAGTGGCATCGAGTCCTTACATCCATCTGGATATTGTAAAACAGAGAAAATGTAGCATTTATTCCATGAAATGGTACAGTGGCTTTTGCAAGGGACAATTATTTCTGGCAGGGAGTTTCCAGCAGTGTCTGCAGCCCAAGCTGGGTGCTGCACCAGGGCACTCAGAATATCAGTGGAAAGGTCTGTTTTCCTTAATGAATTCCCAGAGGGCCAACAAACAACCCAAAGTCAGCTCTCCCCACTGGGGATCTGCTCCTGTGGAGAGAGAAGTCAGAGAGCTGCATTGCTGGATGGATCCTTTGCAAACCCATCCCAAGGGAGCAGCTTTCACAGCTGTCAAAGTCCTGTTAGCATCCCAGGTTTCCCATTCCAATTCCATCATTTTCCCACAGCTCTGCCAGGGAAACCTCACTGGCTCCCCAGGCCCTCAGAGTGTCTGCACAGACTGGGATGAGTGTGGGCAAAGTGTGCAATTCATTGGTGTTTAATGTTATCAAAGAAGTCCTGGAGTAACAGCCATGGGGGTTGTTTTTGCACTGAGGGAAAGGAAAATCCTCAGAGCACTTCAGGCCTCCCGGTCTGAGCTCTCCCCGTGTTTTCTGCAGGGTCACTCCAGAGCCAGACTCAGGGCTTGGTAGCAGGAGGGGCTCCAGAGTGTCCAAATGCCTTCCAGCATCTCCCACAGTATGGAATCAATGGAATCATGGAATGGTTTGGGTTGGAAGAGGCCCTGCAGATCCTCCCATTCCACCCCTGCTGCCATGGCAGGGACACCTCCCACAGGCTGCTCCAGCCTGGCCTTGGCCACTGCCAGGGATCCGGGGGCAGCCCCAGCTGCTCTGGGCAC